AAAGTTTCGATTTCCACCAAAAAAATTTGAAGACAAAGTCGCAAACTTGAAATGTCATTTGCCCAGACATGACATTTTTTACTCTACAGTTATCTTCTTCCCCATCCCCACCCTTAATTTGTCTGGAGACGATTCTGATCTAGTACTTTTGGTCCAGAGAATATTATTTAAATTTTTAGAACAGGGTGGGTCAGCTAGGAGGTTGGTGTGATGTGTGGTGCAGGACAAGCACCCTTATCTGTTGTTTTATCAGATGACCTTTGACCGCTCCCCAAGAGTCCCATAGTACATTCAGTAAATTCTTGGAGCCCTACCATGTGCCAGCTCTGGCACTGAGCACAGAACCTTCCTTAATGGAGCTCACAGTCTAGGGTTAGTGCTCAAAACCCTCTCCTGCCTGGACTGTTGAACATTTCCTCCATGACTGCAGTCTGATGTCTCTCTACATGAATACCAGATGGATTCTCTTTTCTTTTTAAAAAACTTTTTAGTAGTTCTTTTTTTTTTTTTTTTTACTAATAAAAGCAATATATGCTCATTCAAGAAGTATTGGAACAATGACAAGGGTAGGAACACAAATTATATCACTGATAATATCATCATCTAGACATATTCAGTGCTGAAAATATTGATATATTTTCTCCTAGGCACTTTTTTTTATAAGATTTTATTTATTTATTTGACAGTGAACACAAGTAGGCAGAGAGGCAGGCAGAGAGAGAGGGAAGCAGGCTCTCTGCTGAGCAGAGAGCCCGATGCAGGGCTCGATCCCAGAACCCTGGGATCATGACCTGAGCCGAAAGCAGAGGCTTTAAACCACTGAGCCACCCAGGCGCCCCTCTCCTAGGCACTTTTAAAAATAATATACTTAATTAGAGAATATAGAAAAAGACATTCTTTTTTCCTTTACTGTCATATCAGAGACATTTTCCCAAGTCATGAAAAGCCCTTGGAAACATTAAGACTGATATTCCTAAAACTTAAATCCAATCATGTCACTTCCCTGCTTCAAACCCTTCATCACTGGTTTTAGAAAGTAAAGTCTCTACTTCTTTTTTTTTTTTTTAAGATTTTTTATTTATTTATCTGACAGACAGAGATCACAAGTAGGCAGAGAGGCAGGCAGAGAGAAAGGAGGAAGCAGGCTCCCTGCGGAGCAGAGAGCCTGATGCGGGGCTCGATCGCAGGACCCTGGGATCATGACCTGAGCCGAAGGCAGAGGCTTTTAACCCACTGAGCCACCCAGGCGCCCCTAAAGTCTCTACTTCTTGATGCAACACACAATTCTCCCTATGATGGGATACTGCATACTTCTCCAGGGTTGTCTGTCTCACTCTTACCCTCTTCTTTCACTCACTCCCCCAAACTCACACAATACACAGTCATTTGCCGCCACTCCCCCACCCCTTGCCACATTCACTCCCTTATATTCTACCTGTGTGGGCTGCTTTCAGCTTCCCAGGCTGCCCCGGGTAGGCTCACAGCTTGATCCTTTACTCAGAGTGTTGCTCCTGCTTAGAATGCTCTCTCATCAGAGGATCCAGGGCAGTCCTCTTTCTCAATACTCAGTTCAAGCACTGCCTCTTCCTTTCCCTCCCCTCTCCACCCCCTCCTCCCCCAGAGAGCATCTTGCTCCTTTTTTCATCCTCCGTGGTACCCCTTCTGTCTAGAACAGTACCCGTGATAGCTCAGATGATGGAGGGTAGGAAGCCAGATTGTATTCATCTTCATTTCTGCAGTGCTTGGCAAATATTTAGCATGTAGTAGATGCTCAGTGAATATTCGCTGGAGTGCAGACCGTTGAGCAGTTGCAGTGCTGTGTCATGACTGGTGTGCAGGGGCGTGTAAAGCGTGCTTGTAGGGGTCCCAAGGAGGGGCATTTTATCCACAATCCAGCAGACAGGGAATGTGTTCATTTTTAATGGGGGACAGCCTTCCTCCCTAATTAATCTACTGCTTTGAATCCTATTTGCATTTCTGTTCCATGGCCTTGGACCAGCTAGAGGCACTTTGTGGCCCTCTCCTCGTGCACCTTCTCCTTTGCCTGCTGAGACTGTGATGGCCTGAGCCCTGGGCAGGGCAGAAGCTCCCACTACCCATAAACCAGCCCCTGCTGCATGCCTCCCACCAGGAGCAGCACAGACAGTGGCAGCTTGCCCCCAGTTACCCATGGCTGGGACCCAGGAATACCCCTCTAGCCCTGGAAGCCTGTCATCAGAGGGAATGGCATTTGAGTTATAATAAGCATTGATAGCCAAGGCCATTAGGAGGCACATTTACCCAGACTACAGCTTACCCAGACCCTTTATTTCTCTCTTCCTCCTCTCTCGCTGCCTCTACCCTACTCACCCCCTTGCAGAGAGTCTTTTTGGGCTTTTTTGCTCATTCAACAGGTCAGACAGGAAGATAGGGAACATAGTTCCCTGCATGACATTTCAGCTCCTCAGAGGGCCTTCATTCTAGAAGGTTGAAAAAGGACCATGCCAAGCTGGATGTTCCACAAGAGAGCCTTGCAGGCAGAGATGGAAGCCTGTTTGCCCCGGCCTTGCAGTCAGCATCCTGCCAAGCCATCAGGGTGTAGACCAAAGGCTGTAATAGGACAACAGGACAAGAAGGAGGGGAAGTGAAAGGCATGTAATCAGATCAGTTACCAGCTGGGTCCATTTGCCTGGGAGCCTGTCTCTGGCCATGGCACCAGGGAACAGGTCACATGTCTTGAAGAGCCTGCCTGTCCACTGGCTTCTCAGACCCCAGCACCAGACACTCTCATTTCCTTAATAACTGGTTAGAGATCCTGAATCTATAAATTTAGCTAAACTCTCCTTGACCTTCCTATATTTTTAGTCTATGCTGTTTCTCAGGATAACAACTTCCACAGTTGATTACTTATCCTGTAAAATAACTTCATGACAAGTTAAAAGAAATTCTCTCTCTCGAGCTTGAAAATGCTATCTTTATTTAAATTTTATTTTAATTTTTTTACTAACATATACTGTATTATTTGTTTCAGGGGTACAGCTCTGTGAATCATCAGTCTTACACAATTCACAGCACTCACCATAGCACATAAACCGCCCCCCTCGCCAACGTCCATCACCCAGCCACCCTATAAGATGCTATCTTCTTAATTCTAGTTTCTGGTGTTGGTAACAAATTCATTTGGAGGTAGAGCAGGGGAAAAGAAGGTTGACATCACTTCACAGCTTTAAATTTTTTGGCTTTAAGACTCTTTTTTAAAGATTTATTCATTTTTTTAAAGATTTTATTTATTTATATGAGAGAGAGAGAGAGAGCACAAGCAGGTGGAATGGCCGAGAGAGAGGGAGAAGCAGACTCCTCGCTGAGCAAGGAGCCCAACGTAGAGCTCGATCCCAGGACTCTGGGATCATGACCTGAGCTGAAGACAGACACTTAACCAACTGAGCCACCCAGCCCCTCCCCTTATTCATTTATTGTAGAGAAAGAAAGAGCGTAGGGGAGGGACATAGAGAAAGGGAGAGAGAGAATCTCAAGCTGACTCCCTGCTGAGCATGGAGCCCAGCGTGGGGCTTGATCTCACAACCCTGAGATCATGACCTAAGCCAAAGCCAAGAATCAGATGTTTAACTGAATTACACACCCAGAGGCCCCTCCGCTTTAAGTCTTAATATCCACCATCTGTTATATAATGAATGACCCATTGGGTACCTCATTTACTTTTTGTTTCATTCCTCTGGACTGTTCCTACTTGTATTTACCCAATCTTGAATTACAGCAGCTAAGAGAATTTAGACATTATTCCAAGTGCATGCTGTTTAACACCATGCAGAAACCTGTTGTTTCTCCCACCTTTTTGGAGATTTTTTTATCTTTGTGACTTTAACCTTAAGGCTGATGTTTTCAAAGTCTTCCAAAGTGAAGCTTTTCCTTTGAGCCGCAGAGGCTGTTGTAAATAGGCCTCTTGTGTGGGTAGTTTGGGTTAGACACCCATATTTGTTTTAGAGTCACTCACCTTGACCTTGATCTCCAGGCTTACTGTTTATCCACATTGCTTCTGCCAAGTTCCATAATGAAATGCTAAGTGTTGCTGTTTGATCTTTCTTCAAGGACACCTGTGAAAATGCTAAGATTGGCCCCATTTTTAATATCCTTCTTGTTAACAGCTCTGGGGGCTGGGAGGGAGAGCTCATCATTGTAGAATATTTTTAATTTTCCAAGGGATTATACAACTATTGTCTCTGTCGATTCCTTAGAAATCTGTAGAAAGGAGAGATCTGATTTGAAAACTGAAAAAAAATGAAGCCCACATGGAATAATTGCAGCTGTCTCACTTAAGATCATCCAGTGGCTAGCAGATCTGGGGTTAGAATCCTTTGCCCTTAAGTCTTTCTAGAGTACTGTATTAATATCTTTACCTTGTTTCTCACTCCTATAGCACCTTAATTAAAAGAAATTAAAGGGATTCATAAATGAAAGAAAACCTTGGCAAATAACCTTAGGAAAGATATTTTTAGGAAAGGCTAAATCTATTGATCTCTTCCTGTCTACATCTCATTGGCATCTCGGGGGGGGGGGGCGGGGAAGAAGGTAGCTGATTTAACAAACAGGAGTTGGTCCAACTAGCTCTCCTGTCACTACCCTCCCCTTATCAATTGGCATTTGATGGTCTCACAACTGATTTTCTTTTTTAACTGCTTCATCAGTATAGAATCTCAATGATTATCTTTACCTCTGCAGCACTTACCCAGATATAAGTCACTTTGACAATTTTCATTATGTCAGGAAATTGGCCGCACATGATGCCAAGTTCATCCTGATTGCCCGAGAAGGCGGCAGCTCTGGGCAATCTGCTGCAGGGACAGGGGAGTACCTGGCCTCCTGGTGCCTCACTTACATTCAGTGAGAACAGCCTGGGCTACTGGTCTACCAAGTTGGCAGCTGCTAGGCAGGAGGGGACACAAGGGCCTCCAGATGACTTTTCAAGGTATGCTTCTCTAAGGCTGTTTTTCTTCTCTTTTCAGAGTCTAGAAGGAGGCTCATACCGGGGAAGCTTGAAAGACCCTGTAGGCTGCCTGAATGAGGGGATGACTCCACCCACACCTCCTAGAAACCTGGAAGAAGAACAGAAAGCCAAGGCCCTGAGAGGCCGGATGTAAGTAACTTTCCCATATACTATCCTAGTATGCATGTGTATGGTGGACAACATGCTGAGGTTGGAGGAAGTTTGGGGAGGATTACAGAGGGGTCCCCCACACTGTATTTCCACAGATACTATTCATTCTAAGTAAAGGTGACCTAGATCTGTCCAGTGTACATTGATAGACAAGGCACTGCAGTGGAACCGACTTTAAGAATTTTAGGCTAAAGTATCGTCAGGGAGATAGATAGCAGCTGTTATTGACAAAGTGTGGTTATAACCAAGGTCTGTTAGAAATTTAAAACATGTTGGGGCACCTGGGTGGCTCAGTCAGTTAAGCATCTGCCTTTGGCTCAGATCATGATCCTAGGGTCCTGGGATTGAGCCCCCAGCAGGCTACCTGCTCAGCAGGGAGTTTGCTTCTCCCTCTCCCTCTGCCTGCTCGCTCGCTCTCTCTCTCCCCCATCATTCTCTCATAAATAAATAAATAAATCTTTTAAAAACAAAATAGCACATGCTGACAAAAACAACAAAGTGCAGGGAACTATGGGACTATTACTATGGTCCCATATTAGAGAAACCATGGCAGAAAGTCTGGTAGAGTTTCACCTGAGGAAACATTTCTCAAAATGTAGAGAAGTCATATCTAGGAAAGGCTTCTGTTGTGCCGGCTGGCCAGGGCCTAACTCCACCCCTTTCCCAACCCTTTAAGTTGGCATCCATTTGTGGGCTTAGCTCCAAGAGAACCTCTTCACTTTTTTTTTAGTAGTTGAGGGTAAATAAAATTTACATTGCAGCCCATTTCACAAAAACCCGTATTTTATATAAGGTTTGAGTTATCCACCCTGATGTCAAGGCCATCTTCTGTTATTTGAGATGATCAAGAGGATATCAGATACCATTAATCCCAAACCACAATTCCTCCAAAACTTTAGTTTTCCTGCTTCGGATTTGATTCCATGTTGGAAGCAGAGCTTGGTGAGTCTTGGATGTGGCCTGGTGTGTGAGGGATTATAAAGCCCAGAGAACTGATCCCTTTGCTCATTAGTCTGTCCTTCTCCCTCAGACTCGTCCTTCCTTTAGCCTGGTCACAGATGTGAGGATTAGCAAAAAGGAGTGAGGCCAGGCCCCTCTGTTGCCTGGAAACCGGCAAAGTGAACATCTATGACTTTCTTTCCTAGGAAACAAGAGTAGAAACATCGTAGCCAGGGCCTGGCCTCCAAGCAGGGTTGTCACTCATAGCTGAGCTGAACAGTGTCTCTTCAGTTCCAAACTTACCCCTCAACTTTATGGGTACCCGGGGGAATCCCAAGAATGGAATAGAGGTAGAAAAAATACCGTCCCTAAATGAAAATTTTTTAGGACTTGTATAAAGCTGCTTCTCTTTAGCCTCTCAGGGTATTTTTTTTACATAGATGAGACAGTGGTGGAGCCAATGTTCCAGTCCTCTGTCAAGCCAACCAAAACTCAGATCAGAGAGGAGACCTTTGGGGTAGCAGATGGTCCTTGGCAAAGCCAGTCACTGCTCTTGTCATTTTGGATGAACAGGCTCATGAGCAGTCATGTAAGCCATTGTCCTGCTTCCAGATGTGCTGCTGTCTGATCTTGCTCCAACAGGCAAAAGTTCGTTGCCTCTTTTACTCTCTTTACCCATTTCTTCTCCCTCTTCTTACTCTTTTGCCTGACTCTACAACTCTCCACATCCTGAGCTATCTGAAAATCCAGCCATTACAGTGTCTCATTGCTCTTGCTGTAACTTATGGCCATGATGAAAGAGAGGATAGATACATGTCTAATTGTGAACTCTGTGTGAGGCGAGAGGCCAGGGAAGGGGAGTGGTGGGGGGGAGGGGGCGAGGTACAGGGAATGGAGACTCAGTCCAGACAGCAAAGGGTTAAATGGGAGCTCTGTGGAGAAAAGATGAAAACAGATAGTTATTTGTCCAGGACAAGAAAAAAGTCGAGGGTGGGCTTGATTGTCTTCAAGTTTTAGCCGTCATTCATTGAACAGTAGGTGTTGAATACCTATTGTGCACCAAGGTATGGGATGTATCAGTGAATTAGACAAACAATAGGAATAAAAGAAAAGTCCTTGCTCTCATGGCAAGTCTACACTATAAAGGGAGAAATTGCACAATAAAAATAAAAATAGATTATTAAATATGTTAGAAGCTGGAAAAATAAAAAATAGTAAGGGAGATTTGGAGTATGATTGAGACCGTGTTGTGATTTTAACGCACAAAGACTAGAAGCAGGTAAGAAATAAGCCATTAGCTGTGGCCATTAGCCAGGGAGGAAGAGTGTTCTTGGCTGAGGGAATAGCCAGTGCAAAGCTTCTAAGAGATTTCCTGTGCAAGACCAGCCATTCCTCACCGTTGTGAAACACAGAAGTTAGAAATAGGTCTGACCTGTTGCTGGAAGAAGTTTAGTTGGGTGAAAGAGTAACATTTACCTTGTAAATAACCTTTACTAATAAGAATTGAACATTTGTTAAAATGCTTTATTATGATTTCAATTTATTTGGCAATTAATCATGGTCTGTCTTATGCTGCATGTAATTTAAATCTTTTATGGACCTTTTCAGAATGTCCATTAATGCGTCATGATCTCCCCAAGTATTTCATCGGGCCTTCAGTGGAAGTGATGCCAGGCCCACTAGCAGCACCTAGCCTAATCATTTCCCTTCCCTAGAGGCTGGAAAGCCCAAGACAGCCCTCAATCTGTCAGCAGATAGCATAGGATAAATATATCATCTGGAGACAGGGAGCTGGACTTCATCTCCAGAGGGCCCTCCCAGCCCCAAGTTCCCACTCCCACTTTCCTGTGGGTTTTTACCATTTTCTTCCAAGCAGTAACGTGGGCCATGCTAAAGATATATTTAAATGCTTTTATTTGGCCTTGCCAGTTCCTTCCTGTGGCCTATAACACATGATTGTGGATTGTGTATATTAGAGAGCGGAAACTGGTTGGAAGTACTGGACATGCTGATAAAGAATCATGTGTTCTTTTTGCTTTCTCCCCATCACCCTGAGGCCCAGACCCTTGGATCTGTTGGCTTCTGTGTGCCATATAGGTCAAGAATTCCAGATGAATTGCTTCCTGCGTTCAGAACACTTACAGCCCTTATGCTGGGGTTCCTTCGGCCCCTTGGGCCAAATAAGCAGTTGTGTGGCTCCAGGCAAAAAAGGTAGTAGGAATCAGACTCCAGTAAGCCACACAGCACCCAGCCTGCTCCCGTGCACAGCCCTGAGTATTTTATGTCCAGCTCTTTACTCTCTGGACAGAAAGAAAGAGAAGCTCTTGGATTTGAGGCCTCAGGGGCACCAGAGAGCCAGTCTGAGCAGTTTGCCAGGCAGCAGGCAACAGTGGAAGAGCAGAGTCTCTGAACTCTGGCATAATAGGTTCAGATCCCAACTCTGCTACGGACTTCGTCATCATGGGCAACACAGCCTCAATATCTTCCTCTATATCAAACAGGGCTTACAGGGGCACCTGGGTGGCTCAGTAGGTTAAAGCCTCTGCCTTCAGCTCAGGTCATGATCCCAGGGTCCTGGGATCAAGCCCCGCATTGGGCTCTCTTCTCAGTAGGGAGTCTGCTTCTCTTCCTCTCTCTCTGCCTGCCTCTCTGTCTCTCAAACAAATTAATAAAATCTTTAAAAAAAACAAACAGGGCTTACACTCCCTACCTTGATAGAGGCATGAGATATTTCAGATGAAGGGCTGGCACAAAGCAGTGTCTGAGAGGAGGAAATCATTAACAAGAAAGAGACCAAGAAAGCAAGGGTCCTTGTGTTGGTTATACCCCACATCTGCTGGGGAGAGGGGAGGCTACTGCTTTGAAAGCTGTGATAATGGGGGCCTCAGTCAACCTTTCTGGCCCTGACTGGACCTTTTGCAGGCCTGTTACCAGGGACAACTATCTAATGTAGCTTCTGTATCTCAAAAGTTTCACTTGATGTTGGTATCTCTGAGGACCCAAAGCTTGATTATCAAGCAAATGTCTCTCTCCTCTTGATAATCACAGAATAGAGTTGAAATGAAGGAAGGAAAGTCTCCTGGTGGGTCCTTGGCCTCAAAGCTTTCATAACTCAGTTTTGTCAAAGTGTCTTGTCATAAAGGTGCCAAAGTATCTTTCCTGTCAACTTAAGTGTGAAGATTTCTTGCTTTGCAATGAAGAGGAACCCTCATTGTTCTTAATCTCCTGCTCAGGTTTGTCCTGAATGAGCTGGTACAGACAGAAAAAGACTATGTCAAGGATCTGGGGATTGTGGTGGAGGTGAGTATGTGGGTCAAGGTGGGTCTGAGGTCACCCAACCAGGGGCATGTTGGACCCTACCTGGGCCAAGGTGTTTTTAACTTGTGGGTTATGTGCAAATACGTCTGCATATTTGCAGAATGAAACTAAGAATGACAATAGATCAAATGTAATATGCAGGGTTTTTTCTTTTCTCCTTGAAATATCATAAAAGATTCAGAGGGAGATGGGGTCTCAAGTTTGGGGTAAAGCTGAGTCCCTTCATCTTGTTTTAGGTGACTAACTTACTACCTCAAGAGCCTCATATGGCGTTTAACCATATGGACATTTCTTCTTCAGACCTATGAGTCACCATGGGCACAAGCAGGGCACTCCTAGGGAAAACTTGGGGCTTAGAGTCTCCTTAGATTTTAAGGAGAACGTTATAGCTACTAAGAGAAGAGACCAAGAAAAATCCACCCATAAGACAAGACTGACAAGTCCATAGTTAAGAGTCAACTTACAGTAAATAAAACAGCGCTCTCCTTAGGGATTTATGTTAGGGGCATTTAGATACGTGGATGAAGAAGACTTTCTCTTAAGAGGGCTGAAGACAAAGAAAGGGACCTAGAACTTTATCAGAGTTGGGTCTGTCACTCTGCATGGGGTGAAATCCTGGCCGAACACTGAGACCAGGGAAGAGCTTACCCTCAGGCTCCGGAAGAGAGTGGGCACTTACACCAGCTGCAGTATATGAGGCTTGGCATGAGAGCTTTCTGGTAAGGATGCCCCACTCATCACTGCCTCTGCTCTACAGGGCTTCATGAAGAGAATAGAAGAAAAGGGTGTCCCTGAGGACATGCGAGGGAAGGATAAAATCGTGTTTGGAAATATTCACCAGATTTACGACTGGCATAAGGAGTAAGTGCCACCTTGTCCCGAGAACAGGGCTCCCTGGAAATCCAGGACCCACCCACCCTCCCCCTGCATCTGACCTCAGGGGTAGGGTAGGGCTGGGGAGAGTCTGGTGTCATGTATTTCCTCATGGAGAAATAATACAGTTCTGAAGGAGGTGGCCTCCTTCCCTTACGCCCTCCCCTCCTTTTAGTTTTTTCTTGGCTGAACTGGAAAAATGTATCCAGGAGCAAGACAGACTGGCCCAGCTCTTTATTAAACATGTGAGTGCTTCCCAGCAGCCTCTGCGCTCTGCCCCGCCCCTCCCACCGGGCTCCCTTGCATGCTCTCGAAAGTTCCTCCTCTCTTCTGGCCCTGACCTTCCTTCTCACCCAAGTTCTTGGTTTTTAGGGGGTGGAGGGGGGGAGTACCTTCTCGGCAATTTGAAAGATGGGTGGTTGCTTACTGCGTGTACTCTTGTATCCGTGGTATTGAAGGGCCTGTGACCCCTGAGCAGGGCGTGGGGGCCGTGCCCTGGGGCGGAGCCCGGCGGGGGGTTTAGGTGAGGGGTCGGTGGGGGCGGCCTCCTGAGCGCCCCTCGTCTGCCTCTGCAGGAGCGGAAGCTGCACATCTACGTGTGGTACTGCCAGAACAAGCCGCGCTCTGAGTACATCGTCGCCGAGTACGACGCTTACTTCGAAGTAAGCTGCTCGGCCTTTGCAGAGCCGGGGTCGGGGAAGAAAGGCAGCCTGAGGCAGCCGCAGTCAGAAAGGCCAGATGTGTCCAGCCACATACCCCACCCCGCCCCCCCGGGCAGCGCTGGGACCCCCTTCAGGGAAGGGAGCGCTGCCTCAGCGGGGCCACTGCCTTACCTCGGTTCTGTGGGCAGCTTTGCTCTGGACGAGCGGCCAGTGTGCGGAGCGACGGTGAGACCGACGTGGCTTCAGGAGTTCGGCACAGACCGCCATCAGCCCCGCCAGTCCTGGGGGACTGCTGGCGGAGGCCCCTCCTCCTCAGCCAGGCACTCTCAGTCCCCTCAGGCTCTCCGCTTGCGTTCTGGAAGGTTCTGTCAAGCACCTGCCAGTGTTTGTTTTGCCCTGCCCTGGAAGTGCTGCTTTTGTTGGAGAGCAAGGCTGTGCCTCAGAGAGAGCCCTCCTCGATCTGTTGGCAGATCTGTGTCCAGGGTGACGCCTTTAGGCCCCTGCCTAGGAGGAGCCCTTCTGACAGCAGAGAACAGAATACTCACTCCAGTGTGTCCCCAGGGCTGGAGTGAGGACAAGGGGTGGCAAGTGCCTAACATGCAGAAAGTGGCGGGTTTGTGTGGTTAGTAGCATGGTAGCAGCTGTGTGGCAGCTGTCCCTCTCCCCTGGTTTGAGGATTCTAAAACTCCATTGGCCAGAGGGAAGGCTTGTCCTTCTCACCTTGCCCCTTAATCACGGGGACCCCATTCTTTTGGTTCCTTTTTCTTCTAATGTAGATCCCTTGTGTTCCAGGAGGTGAAACAGGAGATCAACCAAAGGCTGACACTTAGTGACTTCCTTATCAAGCCCATTCAGAGAATCACTAAATACCAGTTGCTCCTCAAGGTGAGAGAGCTGTGAGCCTGAGTCAGGGCTGGAGAAGGGTCATCTCAGATTCTGAGATGGGGAGCAGGTCAATGGGAGGCTGTGTCTCCACCACACCTTTCCCATGAATGAGCCGGGGGGGGGGGCATCTGTGGGCTGTTATCTTCCCTGTCCCTGACTTATGTCAGCTCTTCCTCCAAATAAACTGCATGCCACTCCTGCCTATAAGGTTGGTGGTTAGCTCATTTTCTTTCTTTCAATTCGCTTTCTTCCCTTGTCACCATCACAGACTTGGGATCATTAAAAAATAAAAAACAGTAACATAAAATCAGAGTGACCACAAGGAGAAAGAAAAGCCAAGGCAAGGCCCTGGAGAGCTTAAATGAGTAATACCTAAAATTTGATCATATTTTACCTTTTAAAATGGTTTAATTTGGTTTGTCTTACAGAATATGAGGTAAATGGAAGAGTGAGATTGAGCTCTCCTTTCTCCCAGGCTTTCTGAACATAACCCCCACCCCCGCCCCGCTTCCTGCTCAGAGCCTCCCTCTCCCTTCTTCCCTTTCTCCCCCTCCTCCTTTGCCCATAGCTTTTAATCTTTGAGTATTTGGGGGTTTTCTCCATGTTTCCAATATGATTCATAAGTTCATATCTCAGCTTCTATAATGCACTGCCATGTCTGTTGGGGAGGAAAGTCATCTGGGTATCATCATAGGTTTTATGATGCTGGATTTTTTATAGTGCTCTGTTTTCCTAACTGATGTCACCACTCTGCAACTTCCCTGCTCCCTCCCGCCCCCACCTTGCTAGGACTTCCTGAGATACAGTGAGAAGGCTGGTTTGGAGTGTTCCGATATTGAGGTGAGTCTAATCCTCTTGGCACTGGCTGTTCTCGGAGACAGTGTTGGATGTCTATCTCTAAGGGGGAAGAACTGGCTCTTGAGGGCCAAAGGTCCAGGCGGAGTCCTCTCAGTGAGAGCCCCTTGCCAGCAGCTGCTCGACAGGATGGGGAATGGCAAGTAGTAATAAACACACTGAGTGTTTTTCCAGAACCTGAGAATTCTGTCCTGAGAATTCCAGAGTTTCACTGCACTCATCTCCTCAGTGTGGCTCCAATGGCATATGGTGGGAAGGGGGTGCGATATTTGAGTCTTCTAACATCCTTCAGAGATTCAGTGTTTCAGTGTGTCATTTCATCCATGAATCCAGGTACTATCTGAGTTCAACACATAAAACATCCTGTTTTCACTCCTTCCCCTACCCTGGAGGATTACTCCCTAAGTGAAGTCCTTTGAGGCAATCTCACCATGGAGATTATTTTAAGCCAAAGAGGTTACAGACCATTCTGGCAGGTTATTTTAGGTGAAAACCTCTAGTGTTTCACAAGCCAGGCTAAGCTGTTACTTAGGCAGCCAAGAAGCAACAGAGAGAAGAAAGAAAATATGAGAAGGAATGAGAATTGCTAAATAAAAGTGAGAAGGAGGAAAAAGCTGGCTGGGTAGTGTTCTTCCCACATGTGGTCACTGATTCATCTGGAGCCGTGCGCTGATGATCAACATCCCAACAGAAAATCCCATACTACTCTGGGAGTGGGCAGCAGGAACCAGTGTCCTTTCCTAGAATTAGGAATCCCCTCAGAGGTCCCTGTCCTCCAGCACGGAATTGCCCTAAGCTTCCTGCCTGAGTGCTTATCCCCCTCCTGAGCTGCTGTTGTTCTCTCCCATAGAAAGCCGTGGAGTTAATGTGCCTTGTTCCAAAACGCTGCAATGACATGATGAATCTGGGACGCCTACAGGGCTTTGAGGTGAGCCCTTACCGAGCCCTCTCTCTTCTGGACAGCAGGATCCGGGGCTGTGAGGCAGCTTCCCTTTGAAGCCCTGTGCCCACCTCCTCTGCCACCTCCACTCACCATCTGTGCCTTTGTGCCAGGCTTTCTGGCTCACAGGCCCAGAATACATATCTGTTTAGGATATCCAGTGATAGGACAGTCAGAGGAGGCTACAGAGCAGTCCACCAAGCTAGAGTCACAATTCCAAGGGGGTTGGAAAGACCCGAAAGTCCTTATAACTGTGGACCTGGCAGTGACCTCTGCTTTGCTTGCTTTCTTGAGATGTGAGCGCGGGGAATAAGAGGGAGAGCAGACTATGGAATGAAAGTAGCACCAGAGGGAAAATGAGACACCCTTTTTTGCGGGGGGGGTCGTTCCTAGGTCTACATAATGGCTGGCTTTTTAGTTAAGTGACTATTTAACTTTAAAGCACGCGCACATTTCTATTCTTTGAAATAGAATAGAATCTTAGGAGCTTGAATTGAGAATGGAATCTTAGGAGAAATAGCTAGATGTCCCTAGAATTTTGGCTTCAGTAAATAGCCAGTTTGCTAGGGCTGCCATAACAAAGTCCCACAGACTGGGTGGCTTAAACAACAGAATTTATCATCTCATTTTTCCAGAGGCTAGGAGTCCAAGATCAAGGTGCAAGCAATGATGGTTTCTTCTGAGGGCTATGAGGGATGGATCTGTTTAGGCCTCTCTCATTAGCCTATAGATGGCTGTCTTCATGTTCACATGACATGCTTCCTATGTCTTCATATTGTCTTCCCTCTGTACATTTTCTGTATCCAAATTTCCCCTTCTTTTAAGGACACCAATCATGTTTAAGTAGAGCTCACTCTAATGACCTCACTTTAACTTGATTCCCTCTGTAAAGACCCTGTCTTCCAATATGGTCACATTCTGAGGTACTTGGGGTCACGACTTCAAGATATGAAGAGGGGAGGGTTGAGCAATACACCCCATAACAGTGAATCTTTGAAGAAAAAATGGGCTTTCCTACTTTAAACTTGGTAAGTGACTACCATTAGTTTATACCCAAACCTCATATGCTAACTACATATCATCTGTTTTTAATATTAATATGATCAAATTGGAACTGACAGAGTCATTGGCATTTAATAATTGTTGAACCCCTTAGAGAAAGATGTGGGTCTTCTAATTCTGTTTCCTGATAATTCTGCAGCCTAAGATTTTATTATTCCTTTCTAGAGAAACAGGGTTCCTGGAAGTTGAGATGATAAAGAAAATAATAGCTTTTTTTCCTCCCTGGCTAAATTAGGATAGAACAGAATAGAAATAAGGCAGACTGGTCTATAAGTAAATTTAGGAGATGGTACATTCAGGTTTGGGTTACTGAGTTGGATTCCTGATGTTCTTGAGCCCAGTTCTCGTATCCTCATTGCTCTCTCAGCCGTTCCTTGTGTCTGTCTGCCAGCACTTTGTTCCTGTGACCAGGAACTATGTGGAGGGTTTTCTTTCTTGTTTATTTTTTGTAGATCCTAGTTCTCCACAGTAGACCTGAGGCATCTCAGGTCTGCAAAGCAGGGCTTTGTAGCAGAAATATACCCTGAGTTCTTACAGCTTTTCAGTAGTCATACTGGATGAAGTTCATCATTTTTTCCTTGAGGCTATGCTAGGTCTAAAACTATTCTGAACAAACCAAGTAATTCCTTTTGCTCTTAAGTCTTGATATCCACATGTTTCTGAGGAGGAGTCTGGCTTGACTTTTTCCTGGTCTTTGAAGGCACTGACCACTGACAGGAAATCAGCATCTGACTGTGCTAACTCACGTTAGACTCCACAGGAACTGCATTGTGCATGCACACCTGTGTACACAGAAGGCCACACACAGACTGCACGATTATCTTCCCTTTTCAGTCAAGCACCACCACCTCCTTTTTCCATCAAGTCTTGGAGAATTTGCTTTGCATTCCTTCCACTAATTAAGAAGGACCATGAACATTCTTCCATCCCTTCTGAAGTCCAGGGCTTTGGGCCTGGGAGAAGTTTGTCTCTGACTTACATTTTCTCTTTTACATCCTCTAGCTTTCCCTTCAGTAGTGGCAGGGCTATAATTCACAGGTCAGACTCTTACATAATGTTAATAGAGCTTTTAGAGCTTTCCTGCTAGCTGATCACTGGCTTAATATTAACTTTGGAGCAGGGTAGAGATAAGCCTGTTTGGCTGCTGACCTTGACAGTAAGGAGCCATGATCCAAGCAGAGGGCAGGTGTTTCTTGGGAATAGGAAAGAAAAATGACCCCTGTGCTGGGTACTGTTTGGAATAAGGTATCGTGTGCAGAGAATGGCCCACATTTTCACTAAAGGGCAAAAGCCATCACCTGAGAGAGTGTGGTTCAGAGGAGGCCCTCTAGCTGCTATCAGATATCAGGTGTCAGTGTGTTCTTGCTGCAGAACAGTGGGGAAATCAAGGCTCTCCAATGGCATCTGTGAAGACCTGCTGGGTTGGGCCTAATTCCCTTTGAAGATGTGAAGATGTCTCTGAAAATCAGGTTAGAAACTGGCAAACCAAATAGGCTCTTCCTATGTAGGCTGGAAAGTGGCCTGCTAGCTCAAGGCATTTTAGGAAGATCACAGGGCCCAGAAAAATATCTGCCAGCTTTTAAAACATGAGCACCTGTATATGGTACTCCGACGGTACCTGTTGATAGGTAGCAGGAGACTAAGATTTCAGAATTAGACTAATTCTAAGACTCTATCCTGAAATAATAGAAGGAGAGGAGAGGAGCTCAGCTCATTAGATTACTTGTGGTCCTGCCTACATCACTCCCCTTGGTCACAGATTGGTTCTAGGTTTGTGGCCATAAGAGTACCCGAGGTCCTTGGCCTGTGCTGCAAGGGACTTCTGAGGACAGAAAGGCTACAGATGTCACCCACTTTCTGTTATCCTTTTAATAAAAAATAAAAAGAGCCAGGATAATCCCTGAACAACTTTTTAGCTAATGATTTATCTTCCTCCCTTCTGGCATTTTCTTGGGGCTGCTTCTTAGTGGTTTTCTAGCCTTTTCCCCCCACCCCCACCCCCAGGGCTCTGTGTCCTCTACCTGAATGGATGGGTCCTAATTCAGTCTCTTACTAGTACCCTGAGGCTTTTAGTGTTAGTTCTGTTGTCTGTGTCCTCAGGGGGGCCAGTCTTGTGGACCCAGAGGGCTGTGGCCCCCTCCCTATTTTTCACCTCCCTCACCCCAGTACTTGTTTCCATCAGGGCACCCTGACCGCCCAGGGGAAGCTGCTACAGCAGGACACGTTCTATGTAATTGAGCTGGACACAGGCATGCAGTCCCGGACCAAGGAAAGGCGTGTATTCCTCTTTGAACAAATCGTCATCTTCAGTGAACTGCTAAGGAAGGGCTCCCTCACCCCGGGCTACATGTTCAAAAGGAGCATCAAGGTAAGGCTCCCAGTGGGGATAACAAAGCAAAGGACAGAACCAGTCCTGGGAGCTGCTTCCTGAGGACAGAGATGTGGAGTGAGTACGGATTCAGAACCTTGGCAGTCTTCCAGCCAAAGAAGCTGTGGATGTGAAGGTTACATATTTTGAGAGAAAGAGACAGGCTGAATGCAGGCCTTACGGATCATGCAGGTTCTCCAGGATCATGTCATTCACTCAGAGTCAGAAACCAAAGTATTTAGCTATTAGATCCAGGACAAAATTTTGGAAATGTCTCCTGAAATAAAAACGTGGAGGAACCTGCCTTCAGCTCAGGTCATGATCCCAGGGTCCTGGGATCGAGCCCCGCATCTGTCTCTCTGCTCCACGGGGAGCCTGCTTCCTCCTCTCTCTCTCTGCCTGCCTCTCTGCCTGCTTGTGATCTCTGTCAAATAAATTTTTTTAAAAAAGTCTTTTAAAACTTGGAGGAGCTGTAATATGTTGTTGATTTCCTTTTTAAACCATTTAAGTATGAAAAGACTCAACTTGGATTCTTCCAGATGAATTACTTGGTCCTGGAGGAGAACGTGGACAATGACCCCTGCAAGTTTGCACTCATGAATAGAGAGACTTCTGAGAGGGTCATTCTGCAAGCTGCCAATGCGGACATCCAGCAGGCCTGGGTGCAGGACATCAATCAAGTCTTAGAAACACAGCGAGACTTCTTAAATGGTAGGTACTGGTCCTGGCTTCTAACAGGGCCAATGTCAGGGAACCCCACACCTCTGAACTTCCTTGGGTCTGGGCTTAACAGTGACTTCATAAGCCCAGATGACATTTTCTATGGATGGTATATTTGTAGTTTTCAGAAACACTTTGTTTAGAATTTTTCTGAACCTGGATATGTCAGTGGAACAGATGGAACATGATAAAGATGCCTCATCTTTCCAAAAGAAGAGCTATTCTCTTAGAGCCTAGACATAGGGTAGATGCCTTGTGGCCACCACTGCCAGCTGGTAATGATTGTGGCCGAAGTCTGAGTTGGGCACATCCACCTTGTCTTAGGGGCTGACTAGCAGTGTCCTATGTTTTCCCATTTCGTGGCTAATGGCTGGTATTTTCACAGATTCTCTGGTGTGATCTAGTGATAACTGGGAATTTGACAGATCAGTGGGAGAGCCTACATAGGTCCTCTTGGTAGCCAGCTTGAGCCCTTTCAAAGGAGAGGTGATCCCTAAACTCTAAATTTCAGTGATATCCTGATACTTCCTAGAGCTCATGATTACACAGAATGTGTAGCTCTCTACGGACCCCGCAGGAGTCCCCTAACTGGTGGTGGGAACCGAAGTGAAATGGTGCTGCTACCTTGTTTATGTTTCTTTATCTCTTTTCACTGCTGGGGTTGTCTCCACGTTGAGCTTAGCATGTGACAGGAAGCGTATGGTTTTAAACTAGTGCTCGTCTCTCAAGTTGATGCACTCAGCAGTCTTTCTGAGCAGAAACAGAGCTAGAAGGTAAAGGCAGAATGTCACCAGAAATGAAGTTACCCCAGAGACTTAGCTAGCTCATATACCCATACATATACATACATACACATACATGCACACATATGCACGTGCAGAGACTCAGTAAGCACATATATCCATATGTACACACACACGTACACACAGACTCAGCAAGCACATATATCCATATGTACACACACGTGCATGCACACACAGACTCAGCAAGCACACACGCCTGTGTGTACACACACGTGCACGCACACACACAGGTCCAGTGTCGAATGTGTCACCTCTTGCCAGTACTGGAATCTGGACTCCTTCATGTGGTGCAGACAGCCCTTATTGGGTGTCCAGCAGCAACCTGAATGCTGTGGGGAAAGATTGAAGGTGACATACCAGTTGAAGACCATGGGCAAGTCATGATGTTTCTCTGGGCTTCTGTTGGCTCATTTTTGCGAAAAGGAAAAACAGTCTACTCTGCCCACATTGGCATGTGCTCTGGTAGTAGAAGCAGGAAAGCATGGCACAACTCCCTACAATCTCAGTCTAATTGCATGATAAGGGATTTAACACATTGTATTTATTTTAAAACATGTAAAAAGAAATTATACAGCAAGATAAACATGAAACTTCAAAGCAATTTCACGCTGTAAGTGTGAGAGTATTTTGGGGTCATCCCCTCTGATCCCCCAACTGTAGGCAGTTTGATGAAAAAAAAAAAACAAAACTTTGTGATCTCTAGGGCTCTTTCTCATTCTAAAAAGTCTAAAATAAAACACAGCCCAGCCCTTAGGGATAGCAATAGAAGTCGTATATAGTTTATAGTTTCTGAATTTAGAACTTTGAATTAACACCTGTGTTGATAAAATTTAGGTAGAAGGTGCACATATATAAAATACATTGATCGAATTACATCCAGTGGTTGAGAATTTCTGATAGATTCTAAGCTGGGATGAGATTTTTAAGTTTATCAATTCAGTACAAAAGACAAATAAGAAAAAATTGACACCAGCAATAATGGAAGTAACAACAATAACAACAAGAATAACAACAACGGCTCACACATGGAGTCCTTTCTCCGAGCCAGGCACAGTGCTAAGCATGTATTCACAGGTATCATCACCGTTCATCCTCAGGTCACATGGAAATTTCAGGTGAGAGAAAGGATTCAGGAAGGTTAATAAACTTGTCCAAGGTCACAAAAACAGTAGGTGATAGAACAAGGACTTGAACCAAGAACTATATAACTTAAAATTAGGCTTTTAACCACAAATTACCATATAGTCAGTGGTGGTAGGGATACACATTTATCTATGACCTCCCCGGTAAACAAAGCAAAGAAAGAAACAGGATCAGGCAGAAGATGCTATAGATCAGGCAGAAACGAACCCTTCCAGGAGATCCGTAGCTTCCCTGATCGTAAGACCTGAGTAATGCAGACTGAACAAGTGGAAGTGGAAGCGGAAATAAAGGCTGTCTGTGTAGCTCATTTAAAAAGCCATATTAAAAAAAATTTTTTTTAAGTTAAAAAAAAAGCCATTTTATTTTTAAATACTTAAGCACATTTATTATATCTATAAACAGGTAATACCCCAGTTCCATGTGATAGGTACTGATTCATATAGTCAGGTTGATAAGGCCTGCTTCAAAACTCTTTGCCATCTACTTAAAACTTGGAACTGCATTTCTTTGGGTCTAGTCCATGGTCCAGACGTTTACGTGGTTCCAAGAGACCTTTCTCTTAATTATAGTGCGTTATAGAGCTATTGCTGAACTAGATTATCAATACTTAAATATTTAATGTCTACAGAATACTCTCCAGGGAGAAAGGCTGAGCTCTGGCAGGAGTCTGATACGTTTGACACGTTCAAAGGGTAAGGCTGTGATGACAGAGTGGAGCCAGCCTTTTGCTCACAATGACATGTGCAGGCATCGCAGGGCCAATATTTCCCTCCTGAGACCTCAGAGAGGAAGAAGGGTGGCCCTATATTGGGTCCTACCGAAGTACATACTTATCACTGTAGAAATGTTCCTATAATTGAAAGGCCCCAGCTATTAACCCACTTAAATATTTGTTACAGAGAATCCTGATAAAAATGACAAAAGTGGGGGCACCTGGGTGGCTCAGTGGGTTAAAGCCTCTGCCTTCGGTTCAGGTCATGATCCCAGGGTTCTGGGATCGAGCCCTGAATCAGGCTCTCTGCTCAGCAGGGAGCCTGTTTCCCTCTCTCTCTCTGTCTGCCTCTCTGCCTACTTGGGATCTCTCTGTGTCAAATAAATAAATAAAAATCTTTAAAAAAAAAAAAATGACAAAAGTGGGCCAGCCCTTGAAGTCATTATTACAGAGTTTGACCTGTATGCCTTTTGCCTGGCTATCCCTCTTTAGTACTCAGGCCTTGGAACTTTCTTATCTGAAACTCTAAAACAAGGCTCACATCTTTCCTCTGTCTCCTGAGTTCCACGGACTGCCATTCTACCAGTCTCCGAATTGGAGTGACCCTCAGCTCTTGCCTCCTCCTTGCACCAAGGCTGTGGCAGTCTCATCTCCCTCCTGAACGCGTGCCACCCCATAGCCATTCTAGCCATTCTACATTCTCTCTGGCTCTGCTCTGCTTGGGTCTCACTGGTCACTATCTCAAGGTTTCTGAATCAGCCTCTTCAATCCCTCTTCCCAGCTGCCACGAGGTTAACGTTCTTTGGATGTGGCTCTGGTGAGAGAATTTAAAATGTTCAAGTTCATTTAATCCAATCACTTTTCGTGATCTTCAGAATTACACCCAGGCTCGTTAGCCTAGCTTTGTTGATCTTTCAACCATTGCACCCGTAACCTCCTTTTCCTCTCTCCTCTCCTCTTCCTCCATGGAGACGCATGGCCTGCAGGTCCTTTGACTCCATCCCGTTCCCCAGACACACTTCACACTTGCCTATATCCTGCAGAGTCTGAAGCATGTTACCACCCCTCCCACGGGCCCCTACACGCACACGCACCCACACACATGCACACACACAAAGCCTTTGTTGCTGCTTTTGCACAACACTGTGCACCTCACATAGGGCATCACTTCGTGTCTGCATTTTCCTTTTTAAGGTAGCTTTCTTAGTTCTCACAGGAGATTATAAGTTCCTTAAAAACAAGGTTAGTGTCTTCCTCAGTAACACCACAATGCCTGGCACAAAGCCTGTGTGTAATAAGCTTCCAAATCCTTGTGGGATTCCTGGAGCTTAGAGTAACCATCCGCTCTTACCCTGCAGCCCTACAGTCACCCATTGAGTACCAGCGGAAAGAAAGGAGCACGGCCGTGATGAGGTCCCAGCCATCCAGGGTTCCCCAAGCCAGCCCCAGGCCCTACTCCTCTGTCCCCGCGGGCTCTGAGAAGCCCCCAAAGGGCTCCAGCTATAACCCACCTCTGCCACCCCTGAAGATATCTACCTCCAATGGCAGTCCTGGGTTTGACTACCACCAGCCTGGGGACAAGTTCGAGGCCAGCAAGGTAAGTGACAGCCCCACACCCCCACCCTCACCACTCTGAGGTCACAGCCTCCGAGCTCCCTTGAGGAAGTAGCTTCTTTTTATTCTGCTCATTTGACCAGAAGCAACCCACTAAATACAGCCAAGGCTCAATTATTTCTCTTTCTTCCCCTGCCAATTGAGTGAGTTAGACCAGTTCCCTCTGCTCAGATACTCTGTGTTAAAGGACTGTTGTCATCTGCAGAAACTCTGCAAATATAAGGTAGTATTGTAGTGGCAATTTTGACTTCTACCAAATAGAGTAGTTGTGGTTTGAATCGCTGAAAGTGACAACTCTAGTGTTTGACATCTTAAAGAGATCACTCTTTCTAATGATGAGCTGCTGAAGTGAGCTCATGGTCCTCCACCATCCACTGGCTGATGCAGCAAGGGGTGATTGCTCGTCTGTGTGTGAATGGGAACAGCAGACTTGGATGAGACATTATTCACAGATAATCCACAATTCAAACATCACTATGGCAGCAGCATAGAATTAACTATAGACCCAGTCTGCACAGCTGTTTTGACCCTACCAAGTGGTAGGTGTGAGAATAAATGGGAAAGGTGCTAGATTAGGAATTCAGGCAATCTGATTCCATTCCAAATTCTGCAGCTCACTTGTTCTAGAGCCTTAGCAAGTTCATTAATCTCATTAGGCCCCAGTTGCCTGTAGAACGTAATGGATCTGTGAATAGGAAGATATTTTTTTCACTTACGTGTTCTGGTTTTATTGTTTTATTTGCTTTATCCAAATTATTAGATGATACTGAGTTTTTAATTAACTGTTAATAAAAACTACCATAAGTTTTTTTTAAAAATCAACTGTTAATGTCTAAGTTCAATTCTGCATTAGAATAACTGTACTGACCTATTTCATCACATTACCTAGAAATGATTTTCTACATTAAAAACCCCTTGTGGGCGCCTGGGTGGCTCAGTGGTTTAAGCCTCTGCCTTTGGCTCAGATCATGATCTCAGGGTCCTGGGATTGAGCCTCGCGTCAGGCTCTCTGCTCAGCAGGGAGCCTGCTTCCCCTTCTCTCTCTCTCTGCCTGCCTCTCTGCCTACTTGTGATCTCGATCTCTCTGTCAAATAGATAAGTAAAATAAAAAAAAAAAAAAAAAACTTGTGAATTAACTGAAGCCATATTGGCCTTTTGTCAAACTTACTGAGGAATTTCTTGTTCTGTTCATGCTGTGTGAGGTAGCCAGATTACTAGGAGGTACAGGACAAGATTCAGCTTTCCTGTGTACTCATATGAAAAGTCCTCAGAGGCAGGACCTCTTGTATTAATGAATACAGGTGGGGCCAGAGTTTTGTTCCCACTCGAGTTGGGTCAGGGTAGGTCATGGTCTTGCCTTTGAATTGGGCAAATGTCTCATTGTTGGCCCTGCTTCAAAGAAGATCAGAATGTAGCATAAGACCAATGCTTTTACAAAAGGAAGAAAAAATGTTTCGAAGGGTCTGTCTGCTTTCTCCTGGGGGGTTGTGACCCTGACATGACCTTTGCCCCAACGTCACTCTGCCCAAGGGCTTATGTATACTTGTGCCTGTGCCACACTCTACCGTGCATTAGAGGATGCTGGTGGGAAGGTTCCATGCTAGGGAGGCTTCCAGGTGGAAGGTGTTTATGCCTTTCCCTAGGCTAGACAATTCTCTGCTTATTCACCCTGGATTATAATATTATATGCAACATTGTTATAAAAAATAGATATTCAAAGCATGTTTATTGATATCATTTTATCACTTAAAATAATCTTCTGTCTGCTGTTTACCCTGATGGTGGAGGGTTGGCCTTTAACCACACAGTGGGATGTGAACCGGCCTCCTCGTGTCCGTGTCCCTCTTGCCCTTGTCTCCTAGCAGGGTGACCTGGGAGGCTGCAATGGGACCTCATCCATGGCTGTGATCAAAGATTACTATGCACTGAAGGAGAACGAAATCTGTGTGAGCCAAGGTGAGGTGGTCCAGGTCCTCGCCGTCAACCAGCAGAGCATGTGCCTGGTGTACCAGCCCGCCAGCGACCGCTCCCCTGCGGCAGAGGGCTGGGTCCCGGGCAGCGTCCTGGCGCCCCTCCCCAAAGCCACAGCAGCCACAGAAAATAGTGACGGAAGCATCAAGTAAGTGCCTCGTTGGCTTCCCCGGGAGAGGAGTGTGTGGATTAAAAAATCAAAACCAAACAAAGAACACAAAAAATGCAAACACATGCTAGGGAATTCCTGCTGCTTACTCTCGACAGTGCCACTGGAACCAATGTTTGAGTGCTGGAGCCACACGCAGCATGGGGCAGCCAGGCTGGATTGTTCCCGGCTGTTGTTGTTGTTGTTGTTGTTGTTGTTGTTGACAGTAGTGGCTGTGGGTTTTTTTGTTTTTTGGTTTTTTCCTTTTTGTTTATAATTTTCTGTTCGTTTTTTTTCCTCCCCTCCCCCATTAAGAAAAGAACCCTACTGAAACCCTAGATGACAAAAGGCATGCCTTCCGTTGCTCCATTTGACCCACCACAGGATTCACTGGACTGGACTTTATTTATATTGTATTAAGTTACCGATATATATATATATTTTTTTTTGATTGACACCAAAAAATTACCTTAGCACGAATGCCAGACCTATATAGGTCAGAGGCCTGCTGCTTCTCCCAGGAGAGAGGGAACTTTTTGGTTGTCTGTGGCAATTCCTTGTACAGATTGTAACTTTTTTTTTTTTTTAATTTCTCCCCTCCCCTGTCACTTTAATATATGTTCATGGTAATTTGTAAGATATTTCTTTTCCTTATTTTGGTTGCGAAGACCCTTCTGAACACATTCCTGTATAAAGTATTTTGCACTATTTAAAGAACCCCATATGGATGAAGTCAGGTTGTGCAATATAAATGGAGAGTCACAATGTTCATCATTGTACCTGTAATGTAACTAATAATTTTAAATGTACTATTTTAAATATGTAAAATAAATTTTCACCATGAGCATGTTTTAATGAGGCTAAAGACTAGTTGACCCTTTTTCCCCTATTTCACTCTTCTGTGAGTTTTAAATGTGTAAACTATTCTTTTTTTTTTTTCTTTTCTGTATTTTAGGGATCGGTTGAATGCATTGGCAGTGTTTTCCTACACAGAAAGGGCTTTAGTTACTAAAGCTCCAATACTAGCCTTCCCTTCAAGAGCCCCTATAATAGCTCTGTCTCTACCTCTGAGATGCAGAATGGTACAGATAGGATTCCATCTCTCTGGGCACCCTTGAGGTGCTGACATAATGTAATGACTGGGGTATGAGGCCGTGCTTGGCTTGCACCCCCTGTTTCCCGTGCTGTCTGACCATCCATGGCAGAGGTGGAAGGAATTCCCCACCAGAGAGCTGAACAGGGGCACCAAAGGAATAGCGCTTCTTTGGCCCTTTCTCTAGCTCGGGGGTGAGGTGACCAACCTCACCCTGGCCTTTCTAAGTAATGACAGGCCCAGATTGAAATCAGTGGTGGCCTCTAAGGCACAATAGGCCTAAGTCCTTTTATTCTAAAGACATTTGCTTTTGGTACCTTTTAAGGAGCTTTGGAAATAAAGGCCCTCAAAGCATTGAAATTCTTAATAGTCAATCACCTGGTAACTACAGAGCTAACCTGTTGTGATTTGTGACCTAATTATGCAAGCACTAAGCACTTCCTCCTCACTTTTGTGTCTTTTGGCCACTTTTTCATACCTTCCATGAGAGGGAAGGTAGAAGGGATGTCAGGCTGGGCAAAAGAGAACAGATCCAAATATGAATGGGTCATTCCGGTTCTTTGTCAACCCCTCTTGCACAAGGGTTGGTGGGAGTGGAGCAGAGGCACAGACTTGGAGTGGTTGTCAGTATTTATCAGTGAAGGACACTTAACCGCACCCTCCCCAGGGCCTACTAGGACCACAAGAGTCAGAATTGGTTGTGATGCCTCCAGCATAAATGTCATGAAACCCTGTTTCCACATCAGTTCCTGGGCCTGTGGCCAAGAAATGGAAGCTCCCCAAACCATGATGACGACTTCTTCTGGGAAGAATATGGAATTGAGCCTGCCCTACCACTTATACTACCCTGAGTCTTTCTTCTGAACATTATTTGTAACATTTCTAGTTTCTCATCAAGCATACCGAATGACCCAGAGGGTTGTTAATAAACGTAGGAACACCCCCCAGATTTACACACGCACTCACTCTCTGTCCACCCTAGGAGTCTTTGTAGCATGGACCTCCCTGACTCAAGGTGTTCCCAGACTGAGTCAGGGATGTAGATTTTGGGGGTAAAGATACAAGGTGAATGTCTGAAGTTAACAGTGGTATGGTCTAAAGTCAGTTTCCAGGACTGGTTCTTGCTCAGGTACAAAAACTGAAGGGAGTTGCTGGTATGCTAGGGAGCCTGCCTGTTCAGGAGGTTCAAGAGAAGGTCTGGCCAAGAGATCCTTGCTTTCTGATGGAGTCCCCTTACCCCCAAAATCTGAGAACATGACTATTATTGCTCTTTCCTGTTCAGAAAGGTGATCATTGAACATGTGTGTTAGCGATAAATATTTTGGAAACACTTCAGCACATCCTAAAATTCCTGAAATATTAGAACATTCTCCTTCCTCCTAAGTCTTATGTGTGTGTTTCTCCCCCCACCCCGTGCCCCTTTCCCTTAATGAAGGCTCTTTTCATCAGGCTCTGTCTGCAAAGGCCTAAATTTGACAAGGAGACACTGAAGGGAGGCCAACCTCACTTATTCCTGACAATGATAGTCTTTCACTCAAATTCTGTGACCACTCCTGAAATTTATAATGTCTGCCCAGGGTCATTAATGCTGTTTGTGACTTGGCTTTTGACGTCTTTGTTTTTGAGTCCTGACATACGTGGAACTTGAAAGCTCTGCTCTGAGCTTGTCTTTACATGTCTGTGAAGTAGCTTCCAGACCCCTTAGTGGGAAGGAAGAAGTTAGGGTATTGCTGCCCCCACCACCCTGAGAGCACATAATGGGTCTTCTCCCAACAGGAAAACTCTAGGACCTCTTAGTGCTCGACAGAGCTCTTTATTCACAAACACCTGAGTGACAAGGAAGACATAGACCAAGAAAAACCCTTCATCCTAAAATAATCAGATAAGTGAGTTGTGTTCAACTGTGTATTAAGTCAAATGCTCTAGAAAAAAAAAAAAATCCTCTCTGTACTATAGTGTTTGGGAATAGCCACAGCCCAAATATAAATAATGAGATGAAAACCTCAAAATCATCCTTTTGGGTCTGTCTTTCTGGTCCTGGGAAAGTACCAATAGCTTATGCACTATAAAATCTACTTCTCTTATGTTTTCTGTTTTACCCACCACTACCCCCCAACCTCATTCTTCCACCCTCCACCATACTGCTCAGGAAGAGAATTCCTCAGTCCTGTAAGGCTTCTTCAGTATGATATAAACACTTTCCTTGGTAGAGTTTAATAACCCAGTACTCATATTTTCCTCAAGTGCTGCAGCCAACCTTGCACATCTCTCAGGAAGAGTCAGAGCTCATCCTCACTCACTGCCTATCGGAGGCAAGATCAACTACCAGCCACCACAGGAGCTGGCATGCGGGTTTGGGGCCTCCGAAGCTGGGGCTTGACTGGAGCACCTCACCTACTGACTCACCCCAGGGTGGCAAGCCCACCCACCACCTCACTCTGCCCTGACCTGCCATTTTGATTGGTGCATTTTTTGGTACAACAGGAAGTCATGTTCATGGCATACTCTACGAATGAGAAAGCGGGCGGAAGTGGAGCACACGGGTAAAAATGAAGCCACAGGGCCTCGTAAACCCAAGGATATTCTGGGCAACAAAGTCTCTGTTAAAGTGAGTAAGGACTTCCAGAGCTGTGTCCCAACTCTCACCTAGTCCCACCCTGCAGCATCTCAGGAGGCAATTTGGGTGGATGGGGTTTTTCTTCCCCAGCGTGGGGACCAGAGGGGATGTAGTTTAGCAGGATTTTGCATGCAAGATCAATTTATTTTTCGTTTTTTATTTCTCCTGGCAACTTTGATTCAAATAAGTAAGTATCTTTTTTTCTTTTATATCTTTCTCTTTATACTGTGCACATGTTTTATAACACATTATCTGCAGCATTATTGTTGTAAAAAATGCAAGATGCTGGACTCATACTAAAGTTCTCAAAGCTGCCTATTCAGTATCCTAGGTTTGAAAATACATGCAGGGGAAGGAGATTAGGGGTATTTGCCAAACCTCCAACCCTGTGAAGTCTGAGGTTTGGAATTTAAGGGCCACTATGGCCTTGGTAAAGTTTCATTTCTTTTCCCCAGAATTCAGACATCATTTTCAGGCCTATACAGGGGCAGGGAAGGGGAGGCACATCAGCAAAGCCCAAGTTACTGTTTTGTAATAATCCACCTCTTGCTGTGAACCCACTGACTCTAAGCTTCAGCAGACCCTTGTTATGCTCCCCCTACCCCAAATCTTGAAGTGATGTGATCTGTTTTCTTTACATTGGGCCCTCTGAAAAGATCTGACTCTGGACAATGGGAATCAGACTGCTGATGCTGACTGAACAGCTTTATAATGTGTGATTCCCCACCTGGCACTTTTTCCCCTTCTTGGGCAAAATAAAGAACGTCCTTCTTGGGGAAAAGAAGTTCTATTCCCTCCCTCACTCTCCTCGGGGAAATCCAGCCTCACGGAAGACAAGAGTTTAAATTCTACAACGCTCATGCTTCATGTGCTTGCCTCTTCCACTGCTGTTTCCCATGAGATGCGTGGCGGCACACGATCCCAGCCTCCTCTCCCACCCCCGACCCTGAAAAGAGCATGCTGCCACCCCTGGGTGATCAGCACCCTCACCTTAGAAGCACCTGTTTTTTTTCTCAGCCCAATATTCCATTGATCGTGCCTTTCTGAAGTTCTCCTCACTCTCCAGCAAAAGCTGCCTGTGTTCTAACTATGTTCTCTTTCTTCCCCCTCCTCATGCTGCCCTTCAAGGAGACGAACAGTTCCGAGGAGTCAGAGTGTGATGATCTTGACCCTAATACTAGCATGGAGGTAGAAGCAGCTATTGTTGTCCTATTTGCTATAATGATTGTCTTTTTAAATGTGTTCTCTAACAGTGACCTTGTTGAAGTGACCGGTCAGTCAAGGATAAATGGTGATGTGGGAACATCTCTGGGTGTCCCCTCCCAACCTAAAAACAAAAACAAAATATACATTGATTCAGCTCAATTTTTGTAGAAAACTTGACCTAGGTTTTTTTTTTTTTTTTTAAGTAAAACTTCTGGTTCTCCTGAATGCTTGCCTAATATTTCCTTCTTTGGTGGGTATGGCTTTGTGTAGAAAATATCCAACTTCATTATTGGAAACTTAGAGCACTTTTTCCCCTGTGGAAAATGGCCTTATGAGGTGTGGCAGATTGCCTGCTGAAAGACAAGAACTCTTTTAGTTTCTCCTTCTTTTATTTCTCCTTCCTCTCTCTTCCCTCTTTTACTTTCCCCTTTATCCTCTTCACCTGGTTCTTCTACTAGAACCTATTCCTCCCTTGAGGCTCCAGCAAAATCATGGACTAGGTGTGGTCTGGTGGGTAACCTGCTCCCTAGTTACTGGGTATGGCTGGCTGAGAGCAAATGAGTGATTGTAGCAGCCCCAGGACCAGCCTCTGCTCGGCCCCAGAGCGCCTGCACAGTGCCTGTCCCACCAGGAAGTAAAAATAGCCCTGGGAAAGGCCTCCCTTCTGTAACCTTAGCAGCGATCTCTCTAGAGATGGGAAGACTAAAACATTGTCAGAGGCCTTTCTTATACTGTAGGGCTCCAGGGTATGGGATTGGAACCAATACCTCCACCAAGAACATGAAATCAACTTCCAGCCCCTTTTTGGCTAGAAACGATCTTGGATTAGAGAAGTAGGACTCCTTCATGGCTTGCCACTGAGGGATAACCCTCATAAATTTACTAACCCTAGACAATTAAAGCAAACATAAGCCTGGCTTTCCCTGCCATTTTGTCTTTCAGAGTAAATGGAAAGGTTTTCCTCCAAATCTGTGTTCTCATCACCAGGAATGGATAAAAATTTAGAGCATTCCTCTGAGTACAAAATCAGTATTTTTTAAAAATCTTTTCCTTTTTAGAGACCTAAGCTTTTCACTTAACTGGATGGACTTTTATTATTCTTATTCTAATTTGACCTAATCCCAAAGAAATCCACCACCATATTAAGTCAACCACCAGAAAACCAGAGAAAAACCATTCTGCTTGAGAAGGAGTAAGGCAGCTATGGAAGATGCCAGTTGCTTTGAACCAGGTCAGAGCCAGTGGCTGAAAGCCGGCATTCTGCCAGGATACAGTGGTTGCCTATGGATGTGGGTATTGCCACAGAGCTAAATTCAGCAGGTGTGTGTCAGTGCCCTACCGTGGGTGGAAGTGGGTCTGGCACTCACAGCCTAAATGTATCTTAGAGAATGAGGAAGCCAGGGGAAGTTTCTGGCTCTGCTTTCCCTGTGTTTCCTCGGATAGGCACTAGCTCCCATGGAGCCCACACCTATCAGCTTGTAGACCCCTGGTGATGCCTGTACCTCCAAGTCTAAGCTCTGCTGGCCTGTATCACAGATGTCATCAGCAAGCAGAGGCAGTCCAGGCACAGGGAGGGACAAGCCAGGTATTTGTGATCCAGAAGGCAACTTGGGACCTTTTTCAGCTCAGGTGGAATGGGGAGAGAAAAGTGCCTTTCCCACCCCGCTCTTTAATGCAAGAAGTGGGCCCAGAGCCTCATGGGGCCAGGTGAGCAATGCAAAAGGAGAAAGTTAACTGATGTAATCAGATGCTCCATTCTATGGTTAGATAAGCAAAAGCACACTCACACTCATGTACACATGCATTAGCCCTGCTTTGTGAATTGAACACATCTCTAAGGTTCTTATTCGTCCCAGGCCTGCAGCCCTTCGCATAGACTGAGTGCAGTGGGTCCCAGGGAGGCGCTTTGGGATGCATAAGCAAAAGCAGTAGAATGTTCGTGCTGAATGGAGGAAAGCCATGAGTTGTGTTGATGCATGTCTGGAAAGTTTTCAAACACAATACTTGAGGCAGACATTTCAGTTAACTGGCACTCTAGAGAGGGCATGTGGTTAGAAACGAGCCAAATATTCTGGTCAGTCCAAGGTTTCTGTAGGAGGTGTGCAAGCAGCCCTTGACTATTCCATACGGATCCTTTCAGGTGCCAGTGAGCTCTTGGGCAGTGTATGGCTGTGTTCAAGTTAACTCAGCATAAAGCAGGTGCTGAGGGAGCGCAGGCATCTTGGCACTGCTAGCTCAGAATTCTCAGACACAAAAAACAACTGAGACATAGAAAGTCAGCCTGTTCAACATGAGTTGAGAATTTTCCCACAGGATAGGTAAGTAGAACGTCATTGCGATGTTCATTGCAGAGGAGGAAAATGGCCAGGAGTGCATAGGAAAGAGAGCGGTTCCTTAAAGACCTGGCTTGAGAAGCAGGGGGGCCTCTTGAAGGCCTCTGGCTGCTCACGGATCATTTGGGGCATCATTACCAGGCCCAACCTGGCCCCCAACCTCACTCTTACCTTCTGAACCTGAGCACTGTGATGTGCATTGTCTGGCTGTTGACAGTCCCTGTGCCCTGGGGAGCTGTCCTGCTCCCCCACAAACATACACTGTGGCCTGTGCCCTGAAGCCCTGTGCTCTGCCTCAGCCGCCACGCCGGCCCCTGCAGCCAGTGCACTGCTCCACGCTAGGTCTCTGGGCGCGAAATCTGGCCCTCTCCACTGCTTGACCTGCCGCCTGCGTGTTGATTCCCACCCGAGCTGTGTTTAGGTTCTTTCTCCTGCCTTCGCACATCTGTCACTACCAAATTCACTACTTTTCTTGTCTTTTTCTCAATTGGTGAACTGAAGGGTCCCTTTAAGGAGCAGTTTCCTTGCATCTTTGCTTACAGACCAGCTGCTTGCTACCCTCAGGGTTGGCTTATGTCCCACCATATCATTTCACGGAGGTTTATAGACATCTCCTTGAAAGCTACTGAAGAAGGAAGTGAAGCACCCCAAATCCCAGGAATCTGATTTCCAAGGCTTCCCAAGAACTCCGAGCACATTGTAGAAGGAGGCAGTGCTGCTCTACTGTATCAGCCTTTGTTTTCCCCTCTGGAGAAACGCTTGTGAAGAGTCTCAGGTAGAGCCCCCGCGACCCCCTCCTGGCATGCCAGCTGCTGCACGATTGGCTCCCCGTCTGCAGATCCTCTCATGGTCTGGCACCCCCTTGCTCCTGTTGACCCGTGACCACACCTCAGAGAGAGCTAGTCTGGAAATGGCACGGGTCTGTGCGTTGTTCACCTTACTTTATCTTGCGCTGATTACACACTGGAGGCTGGTGGAGAAGAGGATATTATATATAAGAGAAATGTTTCTACATGGAAGAAGAATCCAGTCAGGCTGAAAATCAAACTCTGGGCTGTTTGGGGAACCAGTTAATATTAATTCATTTTTTCCAGTACAGCTTAGACTGCTGACCGCCTTTTCTTGATGAGGTGTGATGGTGGGTTAGCATCACACGCCCACCTGCCAGCTTCTCAGGCCTGCCCCTGCCCCAGTGTCTGCCCAGACCCCCAGGCGGGAGCCAGGGCTCAAGGGTTCAGGCTTCATATCCACCTTCTGAGCCAGTGCTCTCCTCTGAGAAGTCTGGATCCTCCCTGAACTGTCCTAGATTTCTCGTAGGACCCAGCAAGGCGGGTTCCCACACCCCTGCCATCTCAGAAAACGGTCTTGAGGACTGCATTGAGATGGGGTTTTATACCTGCCCTCCAGCCCCAGTACTGCCACATGCCTACATTGTGAGCTGGAGGAGAAAGTCCTTGACCAGCCTCCCTGACTTGGGCCTTCATCTTCAGGGATAAGGTTTCTCCATCCAGCTTTTATGTCAAGCCTAATTAAATAAATGCATCTTAGTTTTTAAGACAAAAGCCCAATGCCACTTTTAGCAGAGAACATCAATCCATCAAAATAAGAGGTGGTCACGATTCCAAAACGATCCATCTCTGCCCCAGTCATTTAACAAGGAGCCGGCCTCATCCACGATGCAGACTAAATCTAGACCTTACCCTCAGTCATTATGCCAACTGCAAGACAGCTCAGGGTGTTCCTTTCTGCCTAAGAACAGGGTTGGGGTCTTGTGGGAGAGCATTCTGAGAGATTAGGGAGAGAAAGCACTTGGAAAGACAAAGCTACATTGGAAGGAAATTTCCAGTCAGGGTAAGAATCGTAGACTTTCAGAGTGGACAGAAACTTAGAAACCATCAGTTAACCCCCCATTTATTTATATACTATTTTTTCAATTGTGGTAAAACATACATAACATAAAATTTACTACTTTAACCATGTTTTTAAATATTTATTGATTGTAGGGAGAGAGAGAGAGATCACAAGTAGGTAGAGAGGCAGGCAGAGAAAAAGGGGGAAGCAGGCTCCCTATTGAACCGAGAGCCCGATGCGGGGCTCAATCTCAGGACCCTGCGATCATGACCTGAGCCGAAGGCAGAGGCTTTAACCCACTGAGCCACCCAGGTGCCCCTAACCATTTTTAAGTGGCATTAAATACCATCACAATTTGTATAGCTGTCACTGCTATTCATTTCCAGAACTTTCTCTTCATGCTGAATTGAAACTGTACCCACTAAACAATAACTCCATCCCTCTCCATCCCCCCAGCCCCTTCAAAGACTTTTAGAAGAGGAAACTGAGGCAGAGAAGTTGTATCTTTCAGTTTGAAAATGAGAAGTTTCCCTGAAGGCAGATTGTGGCTTTCCCTGGACTTCACTCCCCAACCTCCACCATCCTTCTGTGGGTGGGTGGGGGGAACTGCTCCCCCATCTCCAGGTTGTTTTTAATCTAAAACACAGATCCTGGAAGATGAGAAGACCTGTCTTCCAGTGCCAAGTTTTATGTGTGGATTTGTTGTTCAACTTTCCAGCTCAACAAAGAGGAATATCATATGTGCTCATCCCAGCTTTCCAGGGCTTAAGTAGGACTTAAATAAAAATGACACAAAGA